ATTTATTTATATCAAATGGCAGGCGTTTTGATTATTATCATTAGTCCTTTAGCTGACTTCAGGCTTCACAGAGGGATAGGAACATCAAAGTGAAAAAAGTCGAGAGTTGGGAGGGGGAACAGAAGAGTGTTTGAAAGATGTAATAGAGACAAACAAAAGGGCAGAAAAAGGTGAGATGAGTACTGTGGTAGTGGTCGAATATGACATACAGTTGGGTCTCGGTAGTTTGAAGTCAGAAGTCAAAAGCTGGTTAATAGGCTTTTTTTGTCGAATGAGTATACTTTGCCCAGGGTGCACCATATGGAGGCAAGTCTATCACACACCTCGATTTATTTACCAAAAATCCACGCTACATGAAATTTGTTGCATCACTTTGAAATGTACAATTTTGAAATGGGTTTTCGATCCGTGCTTTCTTCTTTTAATTCATATTGTTTTGCTCAATAGGGCCAATAAAGAAAGTTAGAGAGAACCAGTAACGTATAGAATTCCCATAGAAATATCCTTTACACTGACTAAGGGATAAAGGTGTTGATATAAGTTCTGCTGTGAATCGTCTTGCAGAGTTAGAATCCTCCGAAATGCTTTATATCTTCACTACTTAACGGGAAGAAAAGACAGCATTTGGACTAATTTATTAGAAGACAATCAGAGGCCGCGAGAAAGGAAGAGAATATGCATACGTGAACGCGGTTTTAGCGAATGTGATATAAATGTTTACAATGGAGGTGTATTTAGTGCATTCATAAGGCGTAAGTAGAAATGATAAAAGGCTTTGTGGTGCCGCAAAAACCATTTAGATAATTTATTCGTCCAGTGTAAGGACAAACTGTTGAAGGAAATTCAATAATCATGCTTGAAAGTTAAGTATTGCATTCAGCATGCGGCTACATATCATTGAAGTCATTTGCAGGTCATTGACGATGATGACAACACCCCACAAGATATTTATCTTGCCGAATAAATTCATCAAATTTTGAGAACTGACATGGTTTAATTATACGGATGGTGTATTAACATCTGTCCTTTATACGATGTAACCGTTGTCACTATTCAAATCAGTTCAAGTACCTGAGGATATTTTTCTGTTGATTTCTCACCAGACTGACAAAGCACTCGAAATTTAAATATTGGTATTCAGGGACAGTAGATGTTGATACTTCTTGTTAGTTCTCAGAAATGTCACTTTTATGCAGTGAAAAACATTAATAAAATGTGGTTGGAGGAATGGAGGAATATAGGGCAATTCGAAACGATCTAATTGTGGGTAAATAGGGAGGAAAATAAGACAAATTAAATCTCCTGCACCAATAAGTTCAAGCTGAATAGGTCTTGATATGATTATGACCTGCGAAGTAGTTTCTGTTTTTTGTAGACCATAATTTCTACTTTAATATAATTGAAAAGAACAAAGTCGAAGCCACGTGAATTGGTGTTTATTAGCTAGATACATTAGAGTTACCAAGTCAGTAGATTGGAAAAGAAATATTATTTTGACAGTAATGAAATGCCTTAAATATTCAAATGCCCAGATCATCGCCGTATTTGAAAAGACTAAACAAGTGCTTTAGAATACTACACGCAGTAAATCGCTATGAGGAGTGCACAGTACTTGCAAATTATCCTTCCTAAAATTATAAGTTAAAAAGTAAATAGCTTTATTCACGAAACCGTACTTAAGTATTTGGATAGAATAACCAATTATTTTATAACAAAATTAGTCTCAGTATTATACTAATTAAAAATGTAAAGAAGAAACACTAATGATGCAGGAATTTTTATTAATTTGAACTATTTTATGAATGTGGAAATAAACAGTGTTAAATTCTATTAATATGCAACTGTATAATACCAAAATAATGCACTGAAAAAATGAAACAATTCATCAGTAAGTTAGTGGAAAAGCAAAAATCATATAAGAATATTGACATATAAATAAAACCAACTGGCTAAAATTAGATTTTTATTTAAATTTTTGAAATATTTATTATTTGAACCAATCTTTGAAATAGTTTAACTGTGTTAATCAAGACCTCACTTTCCTCGTGCGAATTTTCGGTTTTATCTACATAAGGGTAATGCTCGAAAATTGATTTTAGCTTGACTTTTCGTTTCAATTTAAGTTTTTTATCCTTTACTAAATATTTCCAAACTTCATTCACATAATTTGATTTGATTTACTTATTTAATTACACAAAACTTGTGAACACTTAAAAAGTAAATCAATTACAATAATCTGTTAAATGCTTTTTAGATTGGAGCATAACTTATGTTTCTTAAGCTATTATATTAGCAAAGTATAAATGACTTAAATCGACTTTTTTACTTAATCTATGGGTTTATTCAAATTCAACATACATTTTCCATTTCTATACCTAGGTTTTTAGTCTTAACATTAGAATTTTGACAGTTGAGCAGCTCAACACTTGCTGTATGTTTTCATTTACCTTTTCAACGAGGCTAAGTGACGATTGATCATATGATTTTCAATCGTTCTGTATAATTCATCATAAAATTTAAGTTGCATCGAAGCTATTCGTTTAAAACTTCTTTGGAGTTTTCGCGAGCCCATTCATGGAATTGATATTTTCATATTTAATGCTAATACTAACTATGCTTTTGTATATTTTGCTGATAACATTAATTTCGCGTACTTGAAAATGCCCTTTAGAATGCCGTGGGCTTTTCCTGCTGGGTAAGTCTTAAAGAATAAAGTGGATGAGCAGTTGCATGCTTTCTTACTGATTTTCATATTTTTGATTTTTGATTGCTGTTTGTTTTCCTAATCATTTAACTATTCTCAAATTTAATATTAATCATCTTACTTACATTTTGCATGTTTCTCCCTTTGCACGACGGATTTTCTTTTAAAGAATCCATTCTAAAATCGTAATTGTTCATTTTACACTTGGCATTCTTTTTCAATCCCACTCTCCAAATAACCAATAAAATCCCTTGCATATAATAGGCTAATTGAAATGTAACACTTTGTCTCTGAATTCGTTATAAAAGCGTTCATAATAGGCTATTCATAGATGGTCTACGGTTCTACTTCTTTTAAATAACTTCCTTGTCGAATACTGACTGATACGAGTTCCGACAGGCTTTAATTGCCTTCGCAATCTAGCTAAAATGGAACATTTACAGCCAAATCCGTTTGGGCGTTGCCCCTTAAATTGTCACTCTGCGTACACAATCGCCGACTGATTGACGAATTAGTCCGCACAAACCTTTACTTCAATCACCATAACACCATTGTTCAGATTGACCTTAATTAACTCCATGTGGAATGGTTGGACAAAGCCCATTTGGGCTTCTAGTCGATAGTGCAACGCCTATGTAATGTTGCATAGGTTTTTAATTCAAACTTGATCTCGAAAAATGTTAACATGAATTTATTGTATGAATTCAGTCCCTCTATGGTTGGAGATAGCCGACGTTTGGCATTACGTATTCATGTTCCAGACGCGGAAGTAACCAAAGCATTGGTGTTTGATGCTCTTATGACCGTTGGTCAAGCTTGCGATCAAATACGCCATCAAATTCGTGAAATTGATGGATTAGAAAATTGTACGTTTCCTCTTTTTCGTGTCGTAATCTAGCTTGTTCACTGATTACTAACTTTTCATGTTGCTTCATTTTCTTGACAGCGAAAGATTATGGATTATTTTTGCCTCACGAGGACAATAAGAAAGGACTTTGGCTGGATAATTCTCGAAGTTTAGAACATTATATCCTTCGAAATGGAGTGAGTAAATATTTGACAAGTATTTTTGCGAATCAAAATTCCTTTTTTATTACTTTTATGAAGATGATTTTGTTTTCCGATTCGCGTCAATTTTAGCCGTATGCCTCATTATATTTCTAGCCAATTGTCTTTTCTACTGCACTTTATCCGACCAAATTAATCGCCCATCTTTGTGATATTTTTCCTTATTCAAGTCTACCAAGAGAATTTAATTTGAGTGTCTAATAATATAATAAAATAATAATATAATAACTTTAATTATCTGCTTTTTCCAGTTTTACTTTTGCGTTGTTATTATTACGATTTCAGTTGAATGGCATTTCCCATAACATATAGGCATTTTTTTATTTCCTATTGGACCGAAAAAATGATTGGTTGAAAGTCTTATTAGGGATTTGAATTGGAAGGACAAATGCATCCAATTGTTGGAGCATGACTCTCTAAAAGTTTCACACTGGTTTACTTACTAGGCTCTTGCCGTCTTATCGAAGTTGGTTGCGAAGACTGTAAAAGAAAGGCTTTCGAAGCTCATTTATTAAAACTACGTTCCACTGAGTATGACGCATGGTCAGGCTGCCTCCTTAATCTTTGATGAAAAGATGATTTGAGGTGACAAGACTCAACATGGAACATTGTAGACAAAGGTTTTCTGCAATCCCTGTCACAAATCATTCAATTTGATAAATATTGTTCATCTCGAAGCAAAAAATCAAATGACGTATGCATTGTTGGCACCTTAGCCCTCTGTTCTTTCTCTGCGCCACTTTAAGTAGCTTCTCACAATTAAAAATTGTAGAAGTTTATGCTTTACCTTTATTGTTACCGACAATAGTATTTGTGGCTAAAGAGGGAGTGTAATTCGACGGTTTTGTTGTAAATTAATGTATATTTATGTCGAGTAGAATTTGTTATTGCCGATGACACTTTTCTTATCGGGCACCAATCGAATGGAAGGAATCTTTCAGAACTGGTTTAAAACTAGTTTAATTATTAAGTTAGAACACTAAGAGTTATACTTAATTTGAATTCTAAAAACTTTGCCTTCTTCATATTCCTTTGCGGTATACATATTGCTCTGTGCAGTCTCCTAATTGAAAACTTTAATGATTTGACCTCTAGGTTCATAGGTGAGCCTACTTTCACGGTGTGCCGAGATCTTTGACTGGCTAATAAAATTCTCTGGATCTTCTATCTTCTTATGACGTTGATCAGGTAGATATGATTAGCGATGCGTTTTAAGCAAATCATATACTATGTGGTTATTGTTTTCTTTGTTCTTAAAGTCTCTTTAGCTTGTGCTATTTGAATAAGCTGTCATTTTCATTTATGTGCATTTTCATATTCATTCGACTTGCCATTTCTAACAACAGGATAGCCAAAGAAATGTCCAGATCATGGAGCCTATTCCATCTTCCCAGCTAAACGTTTCTAAATGGAAAATGTGCAACTTTTATTACTATCCGGTTCTTCTATTAGCAGCCAAATCCCATCCTTACTTGAAAATCGTTTGTTTGCGAGGTTATGTGTGTTCGGGTAAACGCGTGTCTCTCTGTGTGTGTGCGTGTGTCTATTCCACAGTTGTATGCTGTTCTGTCCTATTGACCGTATTTTGGTTAAAGATTGTGTGTGTATACGCGTAGCTTCCCTTTTCGCTTCCCCATGTCCGGCACATGCATATTGTGGTCTATATTCCTGCCTCCCCCCCCCCCCCCCCCCCCCCCCTACTACCTTACTATCCTGCCAACTACTAGCACTTTCCGCTCTTTCCCTTTTCATTTAATAAGTCATTTCTCGTTTCGCTTTGGCTCCTATTACTAGCAGAAAAGGGGACAGAAATGTCTTCTTTATTTCCGCCCAAAAAAGGTAACTAATAGCGCTTATTGCCGAAGACCAATCAGGATTAAATAATAGCGCATTAACTTTGCCGTTTCGCTGGCAAATTACTGTTCAATAAAGCGATCGATAAATTGACAATTTATCTAGTTTCTTTTTCACTTTGCCAGTTCATGTTAGCCGTCACTTTCGGACGCTTGTTCGTGTTTATACAAGTAGGTATCGGCTGTGTTCACGTCGGTTGTTCGTGTAAAAAACACTCGAGAGTACTGGTTCGACGATTTCTCACCGTTTAAGGTTTGAGAGTATGGCTGAGGGGGTTCCAGATAATTGTTTATTAAGAATTCTGCCATTTGCCAAGCTCTATCGGTGTGCACGTTTTATGTGGTTGTCAATTTACCGTGGAAAGCATTGTGTGAATTTACTCATCTTTTCCAGGATTTGGGGTTCACTTCATCCTAGGTAAATTCAATTCCAAATTTGCTTACTCGGACCGTTCCCTAACCACAAGGGTCAGCGTTTTCGTCCAATTTCTCCCACTCAAGTGGAACAGAATGCTCCTTCTGCTTTGAGAAAGGATAGAGGTGTTTTTTTTCTCAAAGTCATCAAATTATTCCTCGTGCTCTACGACACGTGTGCCAAATGCAATGATTCATTGGTGTCTAAGGTCACGAGCGAACCGGTTGGGTACATTAATTTCTCTCATTAATTCTGACTTCTTAGTTGGTTGTTAGGTCAAATACGAGGGTGGATATAGAAACATGACTGACCTGGTAGAGCAACATAAAAGTGATGCTTGTATTTCTCCTACCTGAGGATAACCTGATTTATACCAGATAAACTGATTCCGAGTGGAACTAGTAGTCCACTATTTGCAGAAAAAATCAAATGTCAGAAAAATTCTCTGCTATCTCTTTCCCTGGTCTAAGTCCATGCCTTTTCGCCGTGTATCTTTTCAGCAGCGCCTCATTCTGTTTGCTTAAATATGTCGCCAAAAGTGTTGGTACGTGTGCTTTTTTGTCTAGCTTAAAGGTCGTTCTAATTGTATTTGTCACGCTCTCATCTACCAATTTTAATGACAAACGAATTCTGGAAATTCGTGAAGGTTTAAATCACAGAGAGAGGTGAGCAAATGTTTTTGCCGTTCTTGAAAGAAAATTTTTTCCTCTCTAAATTGACTGCTTGAATACGTTTTCTTCCGACTATTTATAATCTTTTTTTCCAATTTGATGAAGAAAAATCTGCTAAATCTTGTCTGATGGAAAGGTTTTGACCTTTCAAAATCGCATATTTCGGGCAGAAAGGAACAATTTAAGTAAGCACTCGCTGTCTCCATCAGGGGACACATTGTTGACACTCTGACTAGCTGGATTCGAACCGAATTTCCTGTTCTTTTTGTGAATTTCAAGAGGAGAATATCTTCACAGCAGAGGCGCCAATTGTAATTCTAACCCTTTGAGACACGTTTACTCATAGTTTAAGTTCCTTCGATGTGGTTCTCATTGAATTCAATATCAGCTTGGCACTCGGTTTCAACGGACGTTATTTTAATTAGACTGAATTACAACAATAGGCCACATGAAGAACTCTCTCATTAATATTTTTTAAAGAAGGCATTCCCTTGTTTTCCGCAAAAATTGTATAGTTTGGGGGTGTGGTTATTATCAGCATTGGTTATATGGACTATATTCATTGAGGTTTACATGGACGGTTCCTTCTCATGTCAGAGGGGCTTAGTTCCTATTTTTGGGTCTTTTTCACTAGCAGAATTACCGACCAAAATTCTGACATCATTTAGACATCTCAAAATTGATCATCAACAGAATTTCATAGCAGTTAAGTTGTCAAACAGATTAGTTATTGAATATGAATTTCCTATAGTGATTTCACTGTCCAAATGAGTATTCGTTCTGATTCCTTTCGTATTCCAATTTTGACCTCAATGAGTGACATTTACTGTTTATAAATTATTTAACAATATTTTAAATATTTTTTTGCGTATTTAATTAGGTGGATCAGGTGATCGTTATCTTTCCATTGTAGATATGTTGTGCTAGCTTCGAGTTTTCTCCCAAGAAGTTACATTTCAATCTTTTTTCTCAGTAATACTGACTTTTTCTATACGGTTCTTTCAACACTTATATTCGCCTATCTGAATTGACCGCCACAAATTTGAGTCCTTTGACTGTCACTTTACCCAATTTTTTTTATAGGACACCCTCGAATATAAGTACCGATTTCGCTGGCTGTACATTCGAACAATGGATGGAACTAGGAAGACCCTTCGAGTGGATGATAGCAAAACTCTGGCCGAGCTCATGCTTCCAATTTGCACGAAAATGGGTACGTCCATACGACTGGACAGTTCGTGGGATATGATCGATAACCCTTTGTGTGATCACAAGGCGTTCGCCTATTTGTTGAAGCGCAGTCAGTTTTGTCTAGACCAGACATAGGTGACATATGGGTTGGGTAGAATGGGTGAGAGAGTGGGCATTGAATGGCCGGAGGTATGCTTTTTCAATGTAGATTTGGGCTTTTACCAGTACCTTAAAGTTGTTTAATCTTGTGGGTGACTAATGCACACATTATATCCGTTGAAAGGTTATTTTACGGTCGGTTAAGGATTATTGACGTCGAAACAGCTTGCTACAGGGGATATCAGTACTTCTGAAAAATTCCATGATAGCCCTGTAATGTATCCATCCTATTCATCCAACAGAAGTGATACTAGATACTCAAATATCACTCTTAAAGTAAGACGTTTCGCAAAGTAGAATTAAAAAAAACAGCTGTTGGTGTTTATGTTTTTTTACGTCGTTTTACACCCAAAGCACTTCAAATTTACTACTTTTGTACCGATGGTGATGACACTGATGTTGCCTCCCTGCCTAAGTGGTTTGGATGTTACTGTCAAACTAATTGGTATTGGTTTGCAAATGTTCTAGTTATTAGAAGGGCAAGCTTTTGTGCTAGCTTATTTGAAGCCTCAGAAACCTGAAAGTGTTTACTTCGGTTTGTGCTTGATTTAACACGTTTTCGAAGTTCATTCATAATGGTTGTCGGGTGTCAAGACTAAAAGGATTGAACAAGGCATCGGGCTTTTGATATATCAAAATGATGGTTTTGTCGTTTCTCTTTACTAAAGGCTGGGAAGGGTCCTAGTAAGTACGAACTTCCTTGTCATTGCTCTTAAACTTCAATGGAAGTGCAATACAACTTTATGAGATGGGATTTGTACTATAACTATAAATACTTCCCCACACATATCCCAGTGAAAAGAAGTTCACCTAATTGCATAACTAAGCCTTTCTCCCATCCCCCCACACCCCCTCCCACACCCCACCTCATTACATTGTATTCATTTCAAATTAGTAGATATCACTCTCTCTCTCTCTATCGGGTCGATATCGCTATGTTGATACCTAATGCACACCTTTCCCTTATTTATACGAGCAAGATTATGTATTTCTAGATATGTTGCCTTGAAAACTATGGGCTGAAAGTATATCAAGCCTTGGTATTTTGGCTCTTACTGACACATCCCAACAGTTGCCAATTTTCACCTTGGCTTAAGATCATTAAAAATGGGTATTATGTAATGACTCCAATTTCAGGCATTTACAACTACGAGGAATACCTCTTGGTTCGCGACACCGAGGAAGCTGAGAAGGAACGAACTATGACCTTGAAACGAGCTCATCAATCAGGTGGCCTTGTGGGGACCCTTAGGGATGCGGATAAAATGGAGAAACTTCGAAAGGAGCTTCACACAGATGATGAGGGTAAGAATATTATATTTGATGTAAATATAAAATAATTTATTTATATCAAATGGCAGGCTTTATGATAGTTATCATTAGCCTTTTAGTTGACTTCAGGCTTCACAGAGGGAGAGTAACATCAAATCGGAAAAAGTCGGGGGGGGGGGGGGGGGGAACAGAAGAGTGTTATAAAGATGTAAAAGAAACAGACACAAAGGTAGATGAAAGGTGAGGTGAGTACTGCGAAAGTGGTCCAATATGACATACAGTGGGGTCATGATAGCTTGATCTCAGAAGTCAACTCTCGGTTTATAGGCTTTTTTGCCGCATGAGTATACGTTGCCCATGGTGCACCACGTGGAGGTAAGTCTATCGCACACCCCAATATGAAATAATGGTTTGCCCTATTTCGAAATCCGTTGCGATTCGTTTAAATTAATTAATTTTATCGGCTTTTACTTCTTGAATCTTTATTTATCTGATCTATCTAGTCTTAGATTCATTGAGATACTGTCTACTTGAAATATTGTTTGTTTTGAAAATTAGCAATTTTATACGTCATTCTAACCCTTATTTTATGCATTCAGCTTTAACACTAATCTTATGTGCATTTTTGTCGTTATTTTTGTGTGTTTTCAGTAGAAAGCCTTTTTTGTGTGTAAATGAAGCTGAATTACCTTGAAATTGTGAGTGGAACTCTACCTAATTCTCCAATGTTGCAGTTTCTTCCCTTCCGAGTGATGTCAATTTGTGCAGTTTCTCTTCTGCTCACATTGGCTTTAACCCGAGTTCATGAAGAGCTAGTATTCAATAAAAATATGGTATCCGTTGCAAGTTCTTTGAAGGATAGTTTTAAGAATAGAGCTTCCATTTAGTACTTTAATTCTACAAGATTTTATTTTCCATTTTCTTCCATCAATGGCAGGATTCTTTAAGGATCAAGTTGGGAACAAAATGCCTACTTTTCAATGCAATCTTCACATTTATTTGGCCATTTCAGCTGCAAAGTATTCGATTAATCCGAAACAAGGACCCTCGTCATATTACGTTTTTACAGGATGATTCAATCCTGTCAACGCACTACCGCATACATACCGTCACACTTAATTTCATTTCTAATTGGTTCAGTCTCCTTCAAGGTCAAATGGGCGAATAGGATTTCGCCTCTATACACGCGTGGTTCATATGTGAATATTGTTAAGGTCACACTTTGATTGGCCCACTGGTAACTAAGTTAGTTGGCTTGTCAAGGTGGTCTAGTGAAGTAAAATCTAATTTCAAAATATGATTTACAGTACTAGTTTGAGTACCTTTAGACGGAATCGTTTCCGTTAGCATCATATCACAATTTATTGCCGTCGATTTAGATTTATGGACAAAGGGTTTAAAATGGAGTTCTTTGTTTGATTTCAAGTATTATTTATTATTATTATTTCAAATGACAGGCGTCTTGAATGGTTATCATTAGCCATTTAGCTGACTTTGGGCTTCACAGAGGGAGGAACATCAAAGTGGAAAAAATCCTAGAGGGGGAACAGAAGAGTAATTCACAGATGTAGAAGAGACAGACAGACACAAAGGTAGAGAAAAGGTGAGATGAGTACAGTGAAAGTTGTGGAATATGACATACAGAAAGGTCATAGTAGTTTGAAGTCAGAAGTCAACTGCTGGTTAATGGACTTTTTGTCGTATGAGTATACGTTGTCCAGAGTGCACTATGTGGAGGTAAGTCTATCGCACACCCCTTGATTTCAAATATAATGGGTCATAAATGGGCATTAGAAAGGCCTGGTGTACTATGTATTTCCCTTAGAAATCCATTATTTTATATCCAGTTTTGCAATCTATCTCAATTGGTCTCATTCAACGCAATTGGCCAAGATGCCGAAAAGTTTTGGTTGTTTTGTTATTCATCGAAAAATGTTCTACATTTTGTTCGTGATTAATTATATCGCCTTCGCGGCGACATTTCCATTTGGATTTAAACTGAAATGGTGCCTGGTGTTCTTTTTGGAGAAAAAAATTCACATTTTTATGACTGACTGGAGTGTTTTTTTTGGAGATTTCCAATATCGTTAAGACTGCAATTCGTCCATTAACTGATATCAAATCGGCTGACGATTTCTACTGTACTGTAAAAAGGCTATTTTAATGACCTCTAACTAAGGCTTCTGGGTCTTTATCATTCTTACATCATGTTGGTTAATTACTGACTGGGTTTATAGCTTAAATTAGCTGATTGACATATCCTCGATATGTCAGGTTATTTCCACGGGTGGATCGATTCAGTGAAAGCCTGCCTAGTCAACCAAATAAGAATTGTGTTTTTGGAAAGAAGTTCAGTAGGATTTAAATCCTGTGGTCCACTGTGTTTCTGTATTTCAGCGCATATTGCAATTTGCATGGCCTTCTTGTCTCGTTCCGTACACATGATAATTTGAAAAAAATATCAAAGAATTTTACCAATAGATTTTGATCCATAGGAGCACGTGAAGAGCACGCATAAAATGCGTATAATACACTGTTATTCTCTTGTATTTTGAAATGGTAACTCATCTTTTGGCACATTGCCATGGGACTACTTTTCAATCACTTGCTCTCCTCCCCCACCTGGGAAAGTCTTAATCATATTAATTATAATTAATATTTCTTTTTTTAACATCCGCGTTAGCTGTTATTTTATTTCATATTGCATGTGCTATTTCTCCTCTCTCCCTCGTACCGCTGTCTATTTATTAGTATGTAGCGGATTGCTACTTTAGTAAAGCCTGACTGACTCAGAAATCTCTATGGCAGATTCTGCAACATCTAGCTAGACTCTCAGAACCAGCTAAGCTATAGCCCAGCAATAAAGGAAACAGACGTGTAGCACGGAGCACGCTTATTCAGTGAGTATATTGCGGATAAAGTGTGTACACGCGGGGAGCTACTCATGATCAGGATTGGGGATTAGGTTAAATAGAAGGTTGTTGATTGGCCACTGTTGGTACGGTCGCTGCACACAGAGTTGTACGGCCGCACCTCCCAATCCTGGCGAGCAGACATCCAGGCGTACGATGACGCAAGTACTTTGTTAGAATCGACGTAAACCAATCATTTCTACGTCTCAAGTCAAAAAAATTAATACTTCTTCAAATTAACTCTCAATAAATTTAAGAAAGATGTAAGTTAGGAAGCCTTTTATTGACATTGAAGTATTGAATTTAAAAAAAACAGAATGTAGCCTTATTCAGAGATGTAGGTTTCGGAACAAATAGACTCACAGGAGTAGTAAGCTGAATAGCTGATCTCAAAGCCTAAAAATCTGAACGATATTTGAGATTCTAAAATGCTGGGAAGCGTTTCTTGAAGCACCCAGAACCATTTCCTTGATAGTTTCGTGACTTCTGTGGGTGTGACTCATCTGGTTTGATCCAAATGGGAAAAACAATTGTCCCACTTGCTTGTTATCTGTCGATTTAATTGCTTTGGCTGCCTCTAATTAATCATTTTTATTTCATTGTTTACATATTATCGGATCGGTTGGTAGTAGTTGTAGTTACCATTCTTATTATTATTCATCACTGAATGGCGTAAAAGGTCACCTTTTCTTGTTTAAGTAAACATCTTTATTCACAAATGCAGTTAGAAATTATCCTTGGGTTGTAAGAATTTTCGTAGAATGAATTATATTTGTCGTGGCAAATGAAGCTTTAAATGTGAATTATTGCATTTGAAAAGTGCTAATATTAACTACTAAAAATATATTTTAATACTTCATTTATAAAAATAACCTTACGAAGTGGTTTGAGAATATTATTATTATTATATCAAATGGTAGGCGTTTTGATGGTGATTATAAGCCTTTTAGTTGACTTCAGGCTTCACAGAAGGAGGGAACAGAAGAGTGTTACGAAGATTTAAAAGAGACAGACACTGAGGCAGAGAAAAGGTAAGATGAGTACGGTGAAAGTTGTGGAATATGACATACAGTGGGGTGATGGTAGTTTGAAGTCAGAAGTCAACTGCCAGGTAATAGACTTTTTTGCCGTATGAGTATACGTTGCCCAGGGTGCACCACGTGGAAGTAAGTCTGTCACACACCCCGGTTTGAGAATATTAATTGCATTAAACAGTATACAAACCAAAAATTTGCAATTTAATTATTGTGAGCGCCCTTAATTCATTACAGTAATATGGCTCAACCCCGCCCAAAGCCTTCGGCAACAAGGAATTGACGAAAAGGAAATCCTTCTTCTGCGTCGTCGCTATTTCTTTTCGGATATGAATGTTGACGCAAGGGATCCTGTCCAGTTAAACCTTCTTTACGTTCAGGTTTGTTTTCTTAACTATTCTTTCATTTCTCATTTCATGAGGCCAGTTTGATGTATAGTTCGATACTTGTTCTATTTCTTGATTTATTGCAATTTTTTTGCATGAACTCTCGTATGCAAATTGTGGACCTTCCATTTATTTTTCTTCTCCATTTCATTCTATGGGAATGTTTTAAAAATTCTTGTTTTATTAAAAAATCTAACGCATGGAAGTGAAAAATTGTCAATTGTTGATGCAAATTCCTTACACACGTCTGTTACACAATTGCTTATTGCCAGTTATTATAATTTTCGTAAAAGTATTATGGCCGATTTTGGCCGATAAAACTTGCTAAGTAGAATTCATTTTAAAGTAATTAGGATAAATAATTATTTTCCAAAATAAACTTTTGTTAAGCTTTATGCAATATATATATATATATATATATATATATATATATATATTATTTATAATATAAATAGTTTATTATGGATATTTTTCAACGGTTTGTAATTAGTTTCTGCGCATCTAAGGTAATATCGCTTTTTTCTTCCAAAATTCAAACAATTCTAATTTTATATGTAATTTACCATATTTTAATCGATGGAACATTCCGATTTAATGCAATTTTCATTTTAATTACATTGTAGGATTGGCGTGCTTGGCGCCAATTCTCATGGAATTTGAGCTCGTATAAGTGTATTATACTTGAGGAGCAATATCGAGTTCTCGTTTCCCTTATTAAATGCATTAGTGTGATTTTGGCTATTACTTTTATTACTTTATATTAAACCGCTTGTCTTGAGAACATCATGGCTAATTGGTTGTCATACATCCGCTCAATTCGTGGGAGACAATTTTCTATGACAACCAGACTATATTATAGAAAGCTAATATTTCCCATGGCATTAGAATGCAAACGAGAGAAATAGTAGTATAGTACAAATACGGGATTTAGAGGAGTAGAAGTATTAAAAATCGATTATTAAAGGAAAACCCGTTTCTTCTGAACTTTTAATTTGTGACAATCAAGTTTGTCTCAAATGGTTGTGTATTAATGCTTAGTTCTTGACAGGTTTCAATATTCAAATTAATGTGTGCAGTTGTATTTTCAATAGTATCGTGACTAGTATATTACTACACTGCGTGAACTTGCCCATAGATATCTTATTAACCGATTTTTTCATACTTGCAAGTTGATTTTTATTTCCAATTTGATGGCCAAGCATCACCAATGCAGTTTTAAATATCTTTCCTCTATAAAATTGGGCATTTCAGAGAGTAGAAGTATATTTATGATTATATTATTAAGTAAAAGTTTTTTACTAATACATTATGGGAATAGAAGTAAGGGGCTCTCTGATTTTTTAATAACCAATGGTTCATTATCACAATGTTAGTCGAATTCACCATTTGGAACATTTCTACCAAAATCATTTCAATGGTTGGGTGTCTGAAATCGCATCTTCACTGATTCTTTTAATTTTGTTCAATTTTCAACAAGCCATCAGAAGGCTATCGATCTAGTATTCACTCCTGCCTCCTTTTAGAGTGTTCTACTTAGCTAGAACTGAGTTTTGAAGGCCACTGTACAAAATTGTGCTGGATGGTTATTTTGTGTAGGAAATTTAAATTCAGGACAAGAAAGCTTAGTACCGTATATGTTAATCTTAAAAGTCTGTTTATTTATATATTAGTTAATTATTTCTACGCCGAGTATGTTGCTTTTCATATTGTCTAAATTTACCTAGTTTGCAACACCCTGTAAAGCTTGTTTTTACTGGAAACTTCTCTTCCAATTGCATTATCCTCTTGAAATAGAAGCTTTTCCTATTTGCTGAGTCACTGAACACAGCCACACCTTTGGACCATGCTTTCTTTACGAAGTACAACTAACATGAAATATTTAAGTTTATTCTCCTGTTTTTAATTCACTGGAATATTAAATTAGCCAATGAAGGAAAAATTTTATTTCAATTGAATTTCAAACATGCTTAAAGTTAACTCCAATTTGCAAGACGATTCAACTTATTGGCTACATCTTTGCTTTGTTTTTTGTCTTGGTTATTCAAACCCAAAATGCTTGCTTTTCAATCACCTATTCGACCTTAAAGGTTCTTCAAGCCATTTATGTTTTGGAAGCAACACTATTGAAAGTCTTACCGTTAATAATCGTAGATAATGATTTCAATGCCCTTCGTTATTTTTTTATACCAAATGGCAGGTGTTTTGATAGTCATCATTAACCCTTTAGTTGACTTCAAGATTCACAGAGGGGGAGGAACATCAAAGTGAAAAAGTCGAGATGGGGTGGGGGGTGGAACAGTATAGTGTTTCTAAGATGTTGAAGAGGCAGACAGACACAAAGGTAGAAAAAAAGGTGAGGT